CCCCGAATCAAATTTGATCGTAATCAGAAGAGACGTAACAAAGAAAAATATAATATATATAAAACCTTTCTGTTTATACACGTACACACGCGCGCACACACTCATACGTATGTATATATGTATATATATATATATATGTGTATATACATATATATATATATATGTAAGATCTGTATATAAGACTCGATACATATATATATCAAAATGTAATGTGCAAACTGGAAAAATGGCAATTAATTCGCGATTTACATTCTCTGTGTATGAAAAACACTCGCATCTCTCGTTTCTCAAAGTGAAACACACAGCAATTGTGTGCAAACGCTTTCATACTTGTAAACACTCCTCCGCAACATATGTATATAACAAAAAAAAAGAATAAACTCTACAAAAACTGCACAAATAATCGAAAGAAATAACTGATATATAGTCGACACATAGGAGTAAAACAGGTATAAGAGACCACGCGTTCCGGAAACTTTCAATATGGCCGTAAGACAAACTGAACGTCGCGACGTAACGTTGCACGTAGCGACGACGAGACGGAAGAGTATCAGCGGCACTAACAACGTTGACCGCTGATTTGGCCACGATTTGTCACAACGTTCAACCTAATCCGTTCGAAGACGGTCACCTAACCGTTGTATCGTGTGCTTGCAAGTGATTCGGCGCGTCAGCGAATGTGAATTTCAATCTGTACGCCTCGGCCACCAGCACGCCGATCTCCGAGTCCGTCCAGTTTTGCGTTGGCAGGTTTTGTAGCATTAACATAAGCCCCTGCAAAATCATTCGCGTCTAGAGTAAACAATAACATTGAACGACTGAACGGTAATTGCGAATTTCGCGATCTGACGAACAAACACGAGTCTTACTTGAAAGTCAGGCTGCAGCAGCAAGTGTGTTCTCCAGCGCAGAAGAAAGGCCGCGCACACGTAAAGCTGAAACGAGGCAAATCTGTCGGATTCCGCAAGATAAGTGTCCCACAGACGAATGGTACAGTGCAAAGGGATCTCCCTCGTCAGTAAATTGTTCATCCAGCGAAAGGAGAACTGCAGATAATCGACCCCGTGCTGATGCAAGTGCTGATGCAACGGAGCTGTGGCAGTACAATCGAATTAAACAAAAAAAACAAAAAAACTACGTGAATTATATCTGACAAAATTATGTGACGGTTTATTTTTCGGAAATTCACCATCAATCCTCTGTATCAGTTCCTTCAGTTGATTCACCTTGTGCTGAATCCCCAATTGAGCAAATATGTAATTATCCTGAATACCGTCCAGAAACTTCGACAGGCACCAAAAACTGTCCGCCTCGATGATGTCGCGCTGTTCCTTCGACAGCGAGGCCACATCATAGTTTTCCAGATCTTGCCAGGCTTGCATAGGCACCGCCTCTTGGAGAAAGACCAGGAAAAAAGGTGTCACGAGATCGTTCATACCCTGCGCAATCGACAAGCGATAAATCAAACAATCCTCTCTCGGATGTTTCAATCGCTTTTTTTGTTTTTCAAAAACGCAGCGTCGAATACCTGAACGTAACCAGACGCGGGATGACGAATCGCCCAAATGTACAATATTCTCTCGAATATAAGCTGCACCGTCGTCTGCTGGAATAGCGAAATGAGCGGTGACATTCTAGGAATATCTATGTGAATCTGACGATATGTGTCCTGAAAGCCTTCGTCCCGCTCGACATCGTAATACTGCTTCACCAAGTTCCAATAGTCGAGTCGTTTGCGTTCCAGCGCGGGTTGCCTACGTTCTAGATTAGCAGGCAGATATTCCTGCAAACGCGCGCTTAGTTGTTTAAATATTTCATCACCTGAATCGCGAACTCCTTCTCATCGTTTCTCATTGCCACTTACAGATAACAACCTCCAGGTGACGGAACGCAATTTAGCAGGCACACCGGACCACGACAACTGCCGCAGCTCGTCTAAATTGAGTACGGATGCTTCCAAAAGCAACTGAAACTTGTCCACTTTACTCTCGCCATCTAAGCAAGGTTGCAGATAATGTTTTTTTTTTTTTTTACCTGTTTCTACAAAAGATTTACTATTGTCACATAACATAATTGCTAAATATATATATTATACCTTGCTCTTTCGAAGGTATAAAAAATTTATTAGGATTGTTTATTTGCTTCAACTGTTGCGGCCTGCCGGGGAACTGCGTAGGTATTTTATGTTGCGGTGACGCGCTGTACTTGGAATCCGTCATCTCATCACCGACGGGGTACTGACTGTTGTTTATCTGCAAACGCAGATTCGCGTTACGCAGATGCAACGGTTGCACAGCCAGTCTCTGAAGAGCCTCCGCCTTCTTCTCCTTGGGGATGATTTCCTGCTCAACCGCCTTGACGTTCGTTTGTGACGTCTCCAGGCACTTGTTGTTACCAGATCTGTGACTGTTTATAACACTGAGCGCGGCTGAATGACTGACTCTCTTCGATATCTTCACATCGGACACGGTACAAAATTCATCATCTCCCGAATCCCAAGCGTCGTCCACGCTTTCCTGAAAGTCTTGAAAGGAAGTTGAACCTCCGCCCGTATTGCTGTTGTTAGCAATGCTGGTCAGATTGCTGGAACCGATTGCAGCTGAATTGAATTTGCCATATTTGACGTCCTGCTTCAAACTCGGTCTGTAATTAGGATCAATCATTAAAAAAAAAAAACTATAATACACTCACACAGTTATATTTTTTACAAAAAAAAGAAACGGATTGCAAACAAATACACACCTTCCTGGCACCGCCCGAGTATTTTTCTTCCAGAAAGACTGATGGGCGGGAAGAGCTTGATTCTCCATGGCGAATAGGAATCGAGTTAACTGGCACCGAATAATGTTTTGGCACAGTCACAGCTGCTGTACCAATTGTTTGTCATAACCAAGAGAATACACCGGACAACTGCAAAAATGCAAACGAACAAAACAATCGTGATAAATTACTTTACCAATCGGTGTATTGTTATAAACGAGCGCAACATAAATAACAACATAAATAAAAAAAACATAAAATAGAGATGCTCCGAAGTGACAACAATGTCGCGAACAGAGATACGAGATTAACATATGATCTTTTCCAGGCAACGGCCGGACTGACGTGTCCAACCGCAAAAGCCCGATAACAAGCTTTTGAAAAAAAAAAAAACGACACCCAACGCACCTTATTTCGGTTTTAATTAGATTACGTTAAGAAACGCACTTCGCGGCTCGATATACGCGGCGACATATGTGGTTGATAGATTCGCGGAAAATTCGTTCGTTCGCGGATCGAGGTTATGTTGCGTAAGCTGAGTGAGAGAATCCGCGCCTCGGACGACGCGTTGCGACGGTTAATCGAGGCGAGAAATGCGCAAAAACACACACGACCGACCGAAGAGAAGGCGAGACGAGGGAGGAAACGTTTACGCGTTTACGCTGTATAATCGCGCGATATAAATCACCGGTCTCGTAAGCGGAATCCACAAGCCCAGCGAATATAATTCTACTCCTCTCTCTCTCTCTCTAGCTGCGCTAGACCGATTGTGTCAGTCTCGTCTTCGTCTCGGTGTTGCGTCGACGACGTTCGCGACTTGGTTTCGCTCGTCGCCGCGGTAAAGGATCTCGCGATTTTCAGTCCAGCCAGCGCGTTGCCGATTGTGCGTCCCAGGGAGAGGGTGTGTGTTTCAACAACATTCCTCTCTTCCTCCTCCTTCCCTTCGCCCCCGAAAAAAAACCTGTCGCAAATCGCAATTTGAAGACCGCAACCGGATTGATATATCAGTCTGTTTTCCGCGTCCGACACGGCAGGTACGGATTTTGACGTGCGGCGGCCTGACGCGAGCACTGCTCGTCGCGCCTGATCGTCTCTCTCTCTCTTTCTTTCTTTCTCTCTCTCTCTCTCTCTCTCTCGCCTTTTATTACTGTACTTTCTGTTCCATTTAAATCGCATCGCCGTCCCGTTTCGCAATGTTTAAAAAATAAACAGTTCTTTAAATAATAGCTTCGGGAATAAAAAGAAACGCAATAAACTTGGGAAGAGAGGAGGAAACGGACTGAAACGAAACTTATGTAAGAAATAATTAGGCGCAGTTGCGCTCAGTTAAAAAGGTGCTGACGCTCTTCTTCCTCTTTGTCTCCGTTTTTCTGCGACGCGGAACAAACAAAAATGATTTCACACACACACAATTTGAAAAATATATCGCTCTTCAAAATCTTTCTCAAAATCTACCTTGTAAACAACGATAATCTCATCAAGAGTGCAAAAAAACAATTTTATAATTTTCAGTTAAAAAGACTCGAGAGAGATCCATTATCCTCGGATTATCCATTCTCTTTGTTTCGCCGATTATCTTATCTTATTTCGCATCTGTCTCTCGATTATATTGCCGCAATACTTTGCGCGAAACGCGATTCGATCGAGAAGAACAAAGTTTTAATTATATATTGTCGTGTGTCATATCCTAGGCACGCGCACACACGCACACACACACACACACAACGTCCGTTCACCATCGGAAAACTAACGCGGTTCGACGTCGCATTTTTTTTTTTTTTTTGGTAAAAAAATTAATTTTTACACACATTTATTTTGCAGAAGAGACTCCGAAATTTCACGCACCGACGAGAGAAGCACCGACGAAATGAAACAAAAAAAAAAGTAGTTTCTCGTCCGTGTGTGTTTTTCCAGTCTTCCAACACGATCTAGCTTAACCCTGTAAACCAAACAACCGTTAGCTAGGAGTCTGGATGACACCGTCATTCAGCACGAGTCACGTGTGTGTGTCGCTGCTGATGAGTCGCGGTCGCGCGCGCTTCTTCGTCGTTTCTTCCACGACGTTGCTTTCGTTGGTTTCGCACGGGAAACCGTCATACTTACGTACGACATACTGTCAACGACAAGAAGCGAACATTTGACATTTGCAGATTAGGTGTAACGCGTGTAGATAAACGCGGCGGAGTCGGTGATGGTCACGTGACGCCAATGACGTTTACCGACGCACGCGCAAACGGGCTTCCTCGCCGTCGTGACATTTCCAACCCACGATCACTGGTTGCTGACAGTTGCGGAGGAGGGTTGAAATCTGTGAGATCGAGATCTCCGTCTTGTCTCGGACGTCGTTGTCGTCGTAGTGATAGTTTGATCTTGAGTTTTTTCCCGCGCGTCGCGTGATTAATCGAAAAATTATTCGTTCGCGCGAATTATCTATCGACGCGACGACGACGAATCTAATCCAAACGAGACGACAATTTGATCGAGTGCGCGATTATTCCGACGCGTATGACATTCACTCTATCGCAGGATCAGGACTAACAACCGTTAGAAGCGCGTACGCATTGCACCCGTACGTGTGTGTTACACTCTCTTTTATTTCGGCGAGATTGATTTTTACAACCCCCCGTGTCCACTACGTCCACGGCGCACACGTGACTACGCGTATACGTGGGTAAGGTATACATAGATAATCCAAGAGCACACACGCATTGCGCTTTGTAATTTTCAAACAAATTATTGATAGACATTGATCTGTTGTGATCGCGCGTATACTTTGCTTCTCACGTTGTTATTACACATTATATATACGCTGTGATTTACAGTGTGACAAAAACACGCAACGTAGCGCAATTCGAAAAATGTGATTACTCAGGAAGTCTTCTGGCGTATAAAAGTTTCCTCTTCGATATATTTCGTATCGTGTGTTGTTACGATTAATTTTGAGAAGCAATTAATGTGCTGTTTCTTTTAAGTTTATTATTGATGTAAAAAACATTATTCTCTAATTTTTTAAATTACATTAGGTGATTTATCGTATACGAGATGCAAATATAATATCCCGTACGAATTTACGAATTGAAATTTTTCAATTCAAAATTCACGTGTAAAATTTACACAAAGAAATATAAATATATGTATATGTATATTTATTTATTTATTTCGCAACAAACATTCGGCGTATCATCGACTCTTGTTTAATTACTTGTTATATAGTTTTACTCTAATCTCCAAAGTTTCTTTCAGAACTCTTACTTGAACGTGTTCGTGATTCATATATTTGTTTTAAAGAAATTTGTGTGTAACATTGGTTGTTTAACTTAGAGCGTGAGATAGGCCAGTGGGAGCACAAACACGATTGATTGTGCGTGGTAAATTGTTTATTGCGTGTGTAATTTTAACGAAAGTTTTGACCGCGAGATGTAATCTTTATCATTGTTAAAGATCTAACAAATTTAATAATGTGTAGCTTTTTATCAAATTTAATAAAACCGAAACTTGTGTGCAATATTAAAAACCATTAAGTCTGTGACATTTTATTATTCACAATTCGTAAATGTAAACAATTGAAAAGTTCCGATAGAGTCAAAATGATGAAAATTTGCGAGTCAAGATTATTGTCGCGATGAGAGTCACATTAAACAATTAAAATAAAAAAACTCCAAGAAAAAAGAAATGTCAACAATTTATGTTTAGATTTGTTAAGGTAGTGCTTATTTTTAAAATTTATATAAATTAGCTCACTCTTGAACAACATGAAATTTTATGAATTATTCGAAAGAGAAAGAGAGATTTGATTTTATTCTAAAATATGAAAAAAATATAAATTATATTGAAATTAGTAAGAATTGTTTACGAAAGATTCTTTGATTCTCTTCATAAACTTTAGAAAGCGTGCGCTTTTTACCGCATATTATTGTCTGAAAACAAGTGACTGACTTTGTATCGTGCCGTCGACTTTTGAAAAAACTTTGCGGCGATGTACGTGTGTAAATAATCTCTCTTGTGTGTGTACATTTCGCAAATGCATCATCTATAACACGGTTACTAGGTGCGCGAGCGGCGAATCGTCGCGGACGAATCCGCATGAAAATTTTGCAGAGACTCGCGCGCTTTCTCTCCCCCTCCGTACGCGGATTTAGGAAATGTAGGTCTAGACCTTTTTTATACTTTCTTCGTAGTAGTCTACTTTCTTCGCACGACGCCAAAATCACATCGCTCGTCGCAGTTAGTTTGCGCTTAGTCGTTTCCTCGAGCGGCGCGGCTATTGCGCGTTTCACGCGGAGAAAAATCCTTCGTAAAAAAAAATCCCTCGGGATGTGAGATATTTATTTATACGCGATACCCATTTCGATACCGTTGGTTATCTTCGCGCGAGACTGTCATAGTTGTTTTGAATCTCGATTTTGGTTTGTTGCTTTTTTTTTTTTTATTAAAAGTAAGTTACGAAAAAGAGATATTTGAAAAAAAAAACAAATTGTTTTTCTTACAAATGTGTAATTTATTGAGGACCAGGAATAATTTTATATATACGCGAACGCGTATATACATAAAATATTAGTGAGAAGGCTTTCGCCGCGAGTTTCTTGCTCTCCAGCGCTTGGGGGGCTTCGCAAGCCGCTTAGCAATGCAAGAAAATGGAATCAACGAATTGGAGTGAAGGAAATGATAGAGAGAAAATTTGAAAGTTGAAATTTTTATTAACCGCCTACACACGAACTGTCTTAATTGCGATAAAAAAAAAAAGAGAGAAGTTCGAATCGCAAAAAGATTCATTAACGCATTGCTTAGTTTTTCCGAGTCATCCTATAACTCAAATCAATTCGCTCGTTGAAGTGGATTGATTCCTACGTTGTTAAACAGTTCGTTAAAATCAAAGTTAAACGTGAAGTAAAAAATAAAAACGCGCATATTGACACTTATTATCAATAAATTTATTAGATATCTATTAAAAGAGCAGTTAGATATCTATATGAGATCTGCAAGATATCTAATTGCTCTATTTTGCGTCATTATGTTTTATCATCGAGCATAATCGTCGCATTATTACTACGCTTATGTGCTTTCGGGAAGCATAATTACGTTCTCTTCGCTTCTATAAACATCGTTAACAGAGACGTTTTAATTGTTTTATTTATCTTTCTGTATTAAGAACGAATCTTTTATCTTCGATTCGTATCGTATCTGCTTAAGCAGACAAAAAGAAATAATCTCGATCTTATGATCGATAAAATAAGACTATTATTCTTCAGCAAGTGCTCGAGAATTTCGTTATCTCAAATTAATTTTTTAGATTTCTTAATTTTTTTTATTTCTAAACCAACGTTCCGTTTATTTGTCTGTTTCTGATGTGAGTTAACAACAAATGTTAATCCAATAATTCCCAGATTTTTATGAAAAAAATTGTTTTTGTTATATTTTTTTCAGAAACAGTTTCTTCTCTTGCAACATAGATCGGAAAAATGTCGGACATCGAGTGTGACGATGATGTGAGTATTATTTTGTCCTCAGCATAATAAACGCGTGATTTGTATAATGATATACTGCATTGAGTACATACACGTGCAATTTGTGTTTTGCAGTTTCAAGATGCTCAGGAATCATTGCCGCAGTACGTAAAACAATTGCGAAAGAATTTTCTATTCGATAAATTCTCTTACTCCAATAAGAAACGAAACATTCTCTTTGTCATTCTTTTTTCTTCTTCAGGCCTACTTCTATGGACCTGGATACGGCGATAGTAGACGCGAAAAAAGCTATTCATTGCTTCTTCAACAACGACTTCGAGCAGGCGAAAAAGATCCTGGAGCCATGGGCGAACAGCAGCATGTATCACTCGTTGGGAACTAGCGTTTTCGCATTTATGGAAGCGGTGCTTACGTTCGAACAAGTAATAATTACTTGATACTTTTGTTGCATTGTCGTTTTTGTTTTTTTGTTTTTTTTTGTTTTACTCATGTGTGTTTCTCTTTACCGCGAATCTCTTTCTGTCTCTTGACACGCTAGCCATTCTCCTCTTCTCCTAATGATGATCACTGTCGTAGAAACACGTGGAGAAGGCGTCGGAGGCCTTGAAACAGTGTATGAGCCTGTGCTCCAAGTATCGAAAGCACACAACCATAACGCAAAACATCGGGAAAATGGTCAAGAAGGTCAACTACGACACTTACACAAACGGTAATAAAAAATGTAACGCGCATGTCTTAATTGCTTCGCACGCTTAGCGAGCATTGTGCAACAAAAACGTAAGAAAAACAGCATGAAACAACACGATTCAATAATAATAATTTAATAATAGCTCTGATTTATTCACTTTTTTATTCTGTTCTTTAACGAGCGGTTAATTCCACAGAAGTTTGCACCGATATGCTCGGTATCTGATCCTTCTCGATATCTGAGTGTTATCTTGGAAAACCTTTAAGTTGAAAAAAAAAATAGTTGCGATACTGAGTTTTTAATATTTCACATTTTTCTTGCGACCGGGTTAACTCTCGCTAATCAACTTTTGCACTTTTGAAGTGACCGATAATTAATCTTGCAGAAGAGGTGCACGCGGAACTCTGCTACGCCGAATCGCTTCTCTTGAAATCGATGCTCACCTTCGTGGAGGACGAGACTCTGGTCAGCTTCGTCAAGGCGGGACTGAAAATTCGCACCTGTTTTTTGTTGTACAAGTAAGCCGCAGTTTCGCTCAATTGCCGTCCACGTTGTTGGTCTTCGTTGTTTTCCTTTTTTTTTTTTTTTTACCGATGATAACCGATAATCAGCGCGATGTGATTGTTTGCAGGGAGTGTATGACAATGTTAAAAACCCGCAATTGGGGCAACGACAGTCACAAAGTGCATTTCGAAAGCGGCGTTCGTATGGGTATTGGCGCATTCAATTTGGTATATACAGTCTTCTCCCGCTTTCTCTCTCTCTCTCTCTCTCTCTCTCTCTCTCTTTCTTTTCCCCTTTCCTGCGTCTCTCGCAGATATTTGCGAGTTCGTAAGCATTCGATAACTATTTTTTTTTCTAGATGATTTCGCTGTTACCAGCTCGTGTTATTAAACTATTGGAATTTATCGGATTTTCCGGCGATAAGGTGATTAGATATATTTTAAATGATATACAACGAATCAAAAATCAATAATAAAAGTGATTTCAGTCAATGTGAGATTGATTATCATACAGGACTACGGCCTAGCGGAATTAAAGGCGGGTTATAACGAGAAGAGAGGTCTGCGACAGCTTTTGTGCGTGATGACGCTGCTGTCGTACAATTTGATCGAGACTTTTCTGCTGTCCCACTCGGACGGCGATCTGGAATGGTGCGAACAGGTGCTGGAAGAGCAACTGAGTCTCTATCCGAACGGCGCGTGGTTCCTGTTCTTCAAGGGCCGATTGGAACTGACGAAGGGCAACTTCGAGAAGAGCGTGGACTGGTACATCAGATCGTGGAAGAGTCAGGACGTCTGGCCGCACTTCCATCATCTCTGCTACTGGGAACTGATGTGGTCGCATTGTATAATGCAGCAATGGAACAAGGCGGTCACGTACGCCTCGATGCTGTCGGACGAGTCCAACTGGTCGCGTACCACCTACCTCTACCAGGAGGCCGCGATTCTGCTGATGCAGAAGTCGTCGTCTTGGAGTCAGGAGAGAGAGCTGATTGACAACCTGATGACGCAGGCGCCGACCTACAGACAGCGCATAGCCGGCAAGTCGCTGCCGATGGAGAAGTTCGTCGTCAAACGAACGGAACGTTACTTCGCGCAAAAGAAGTATCTAGTTCTTCCTATCTTCGAGCTTATGTACTTGTGGAATATGTTTAGGGTAATAGGCAAGCGGCAGGACTTGATGATAAATATATTTAAGAGAATTGAAGAGGAGGAACGCGAACTCAAAGCGGCCACGTAAGTTTCTTCGAGACGCTTTAGTTTTCGATTTACGCGTAAACACGTAATCGAAACGTATGTTCTTGCGCAGAAAAACGGAATATCATGCCGACAACGAGGCGCTGCTGTTGCTGTTGAAAGGTGCCTGTCTTCGACAAATGAAACATCCTCTGCAGGCCGAAGAGTGCCTGCGACGCGTATTGCAGTTAGAAAGCTCAGTCAGAGAGGACACGTACTTATTCCCTTATGCTACCGTAGAATTGGCGTTACTGGCACAAGATCAAAACGACATCCAGCTGGCTATAGATTTCTTGGAAGACGCCAGGTAAGTCGCGATGCGACTCAGTTATTTCATTTGCCAGAACTCTCATTGTTCTTTTATAATCTTATTAATTATCGCATTTAAATATTTCAGAAAAAATTACAAGGGCTATCTATTGGAGTCTAGACTACACTTCAGAATACATTCGGACTTAATGACGTTGACCAGCAAGAAGACCAGCAACGGCGCGAAGAAGCGCGAGAACGATCAACATTTGAAGATCACTGCCAACAACAGCGTCAGTATAACGAAACCGAGCGTCGAGGGAACTAAACTGTAAAAAGATAAAATACTCGATCGGAATCGAGCGAGTAAAGCAATATAGCGATAATATAAAAATCTTATCTTAGAAAAAATTCTTTTGTATTTATCTCTTTGGACAACGTACAACGAAAAGTTGTTTTGTCTCCCGCAAGAATCGGAGATCGAGAACGAAAATAATGATTCTAATTATTGTGTGAGATATCAAAAGGCCTTTGTGCATTTCGATTTGCATTGTCCGACTTTACTATTAACAAAACGCGATGTGATTCCTCATTGGAATTCTTGAACACCAGATGAGCACATTTTGTAAACATTACTAAAAAATATATATATATATATATTATATATATATGCATACGCGTACATATGTATATATATGTATAAAAATTTCTTCCGCAGGAAGAAATTTAGGACAAGTAAAAGTGATATTTTGTGTAGTGAATTATATATACATATATATATATATATATAATATTTATATGTAAATTATACTGTCTTTCTGCTAGGGGAAAAAGTAAGATTATGTGTATATAAAATGTAGCATATGCGCGATTTATAGACTGCAGATGTTTATGCGAGTACATAATATAACAAGAGATATGCAAAAAATATATTATAATGCTGTATGTATATTCAAGAAAGTAATTTCAATTGTGTGCGTTTTACTGCCGATGAAACAACAAACACCCACAAAACAAAAACAACGAGAACATCCGTTCGGAAAAGAAAAGTGAGACGTTGAGACGAGTTGTATAAAATATCGGTACTTTATTTTTTTTTCCCTTTTTTTTTTTTTTTTCAATCGATTGCGATGCGAGAACGCGCAAGAGATATGTACATACATACATACACAGACGTCAGGATTTACATAGTACACTTACATCTCTCCGTCTATGCGCATTAAAGTAACCAGACGTGTTAATGTTAGTTGTTACAAAAGTGTCTTGTGTTTTTTTTTCTTTCTGAGCGATAAAAAAAACTTACAACGTTCGGTCGCGTACAACAGACTTATTCGCATTCTTCTTGAGCGGGGTGTGATCTGAGGTATATCAATGGTGTATATTGCGTTATTAAAAAAAAAAAAAAAAGAAAAAGAAAAAAAGCAACAAGTGAATAAGACGAACGAAATAATAGTAATTGTTTAACGAGGAAATGTGTTCTGCGCGAATAATCGTACGTCGGATAAGTTAATTAACGGAACCAATTTGACAAGAATAGTTACGCAAATAATAGACACACGGTGCTCAGTATTTCTCTCCGGTTTCTCCGTCACTTTTATGTACATTTTGTTACTTAAAACGCTAGACGTTTCTCTCTTCTTTTTTTTTTTTTTTTTTTTTTTATACGTCTTTATTAATTATTAATAAACGATCTCCCTATTTCGTTTATAGGAACCTACGGCGTTACACGGGATTACATTTCAGTTCAGAACAGAAACACCTCGACACACGCAATAACAAATATTAATCACACACAACGGAGGAATATTATATTTTGTATAAATTCTTAACGCATCTCTTATTACATTAAGTTACAATTTATGTACACGCACGCAAGTATATCGAAGGGATTGAACAAAATCGGGTTCTCTTTGTTCCCACGTATACCAACACATAATCGAGCGCTGTTACAACAACAAAAAAAGATTCTTCGCAGAAATATAATTTTATATAAATTGTTGTAATTCTTTCGTTTATTTACATACATTTGTCTTTTTCGCGCGACTAAACACACACGCGTGTAATTTGTATAGATGTAGTTTTAATTTTTTTTTTCTTCATTTTCTTTCGTTTCGAAACTGAAAACACTTATCTGTAGTTTCTAGAAAACAATCAAGCAAAGACGTGCAAAAAATTTTTTTTCGAATAAAAACCGAATCTTTATAAAGATCTCTGATATCGTAAACGTGCACAGATGCCTGTCTGCACGTTTGGCTCAACCGCGAAGAATTCGCACTGAACACAAACGCTTGTGAAAAAAAAAAAATCTATCAAACTGACTGATTTTGATGACACACGCATATACGACGACAAGAGAGAAAAGGAAAGAAAATCCGTGCGGATCTAACTGAAATATCTCGATTACGTTGTGGCTAAAAAGATTTGGTTACTCGACGGCATTTACTTCGCTTCTCCACCTCGTGGCGTTATCTCGTTTACGCGGTATCTCTTTGTCTTCTAATCTCGAAATTCGCGCAATCAGCAGGAACATTCGCGCGGTTGAACCGACCGCGTAAGTCAGTTCTCTCTAATTTAGTTTTTCTATATAGTTTTCCCGCTCGCGTGCTTACTCCGTTCGATTTAATTCGGCTCTCGCGAGTCTCACGAGAATTATCTGCTTGTTATCGGAGTTAGTACATAGTATCGACTTTATCGTCTTGATTTCTCGTATCTCCACTTGAGCCGTTTCGAATTAGCGCATGGCGAATCGCGTTCTTATAACTACTTGATATATATATATATATATATATATATATATATATATATATTTACATATATATAATATATATATCGATCTTTTTTCTAGTATATAAAATACGTATATTACAGACGCTCTCGCAAGTGCGTCGTCGAGCGCGAACTCGCGCGACGACGGCGCTCGGGACTCGCGCCCGCGACGAAGGATGTGATTTTTATTTTTTTTATTTTTTTTTATTTTTGTTTTTTCTCAAAGTCTCGAGACAAACAAGACTCTATCTTCGATCGTCTCTTCGCGGCTCTCTCATTAAGTACTAGCAATTTTTGCTTTTAAAAAAAAATGTCGTGCAATTGCTTTACCGTGATACGTCGTCGGTCATTTCCTTCCACGCGATATTCGCTTCGCGCTTTCCTTTATTTTTTCCACTAAGCGTTATTATTACTTAATACAGTACAGTCGCATGTGTAAATCTAACCCTATCTAACGCGTTACATATATGTACAGGTGGTGGACACGCGGTGACACTAAGTGTCTTTAAGATACACGTATCCGTGGATCATTGTACACACCAACGACGCTCAAAAGAAGTCAATCATTTTTTTTTTTTTGTTTTTTGGTTTCTTGCTCGATCGTTGTTCTTACATTTCTGTACTCATACCGACTCCTTCATTCATTTGTTCACACACACACACACACACACACACACACACACAGACGCACGCACGCACACACTCACTCGCGGAGAAAGAGAGGAAAAGAAAGAAAAAAAAGAGTGAGACAGAAAGAGCGCATTGAGCGACACAAGCAACCGGTTCATGAATCACTATTTTACGCTCGCACACGTTACTCGCGGAGTTGTTACAACAACCCCTCTAATAGGAACCGATAAATGAAGATAAGCAAACTTCGATAAAAAGATACGCTTTCGTTATTATTTATTTGGACAAAAAAACCTTGGTTCGAAATTAATTCGGGACTGAAAAACTGAATGTAAATGTGTCGTGCGATAAAAAGAAAAAAAAATAAACGTGTCGAGTTACCCCTCACATCACAGACTTCGGGTTTCTTATCAGTATCTTTACACGGGGGAGGAGGGGATGTAAGAAAAAAAAAAAACAAATCCTCCGCCTTAAGAAATATCCGCGCTTGCATTTAAAAAAAAAAAAAAAAAAAAAACCTCTCGAGCGTGTGTATCTTGTTGTATATATGCAATTATATCTTGTACATACAAAGGTAATTACATCTCTATATCTCTTTGTACACATAAAAAAGTAATAGTGGAAACAAACCGCAGCAGTTTGATCGCCGAAGAATTTCTAAAAACAATTATCTCTTATCTTTATTTGTTTTTTTTTTTTTTTTTTTTTTTTTTTTTTTTTTTTTTTTTTTTTTTTTTTTTTATTTGTACCGTTTACTCTGGCATACGACGTATGGATCTCGCGGTCTTCTCTCTCTCTCTCTCTCTCTCTTTCTCGTCACACACAATTACATACACGTGTATATAGATATATAAATTTGTGTTTCGATATATATATATAATATTTATTCATATATATATATATATATATATTTATACATACATATGTATTTATATATATTTATTTGTACGCATAGCTACATATGTACAAAAAAAAAAAAGACGTTTAAATGACTGTGGATATGACTAAGTGCATTTCTTCTGTTTTTTTTAATGCTCGCGCGCGAAGAGGACGGTTTCCTTTCGTCGCACCTACATTATTCGTTTTGTGTTTCTTGGTAGGTTCTTTTTCTTCTTATGTTTTTATCACCTAAACAGTTTTTATTATTATATAATTCCTATTACTCCTACTACGAAATTACATATGTAAAGCGTATTGCATTGCCTTCCCCCAAACAGCACGCCTTCCTGATTCCTGCGTATTTTTTTTTTTTTTTTGTTCTTTTTCTTTTTTTTTTTTTTTTTTCTCTATGGGTGACACATCGTCGGAACGGCGCGGATTCTGACACAAGTAGGCTCTCTCCCTCGCCCGGTAGTCTTCAGTCTCTCACGTGTTTTCGTTTGTACCGATTACATTGTCTTCTACTCTTGAAACTGGTCGCTCGTATCTATTTATTTTTCTCGTTTATCTGCAGCGTCACGGTCGATATAGCGTAGTTTTTGGACTCGAAAACTACGCTCGGTCTATACGCTCATCTTTCGAAATCTCGTATACAAAAAAAAAAAATCTTACAAACGCATACTTCTTGGCATGATTCTTGCGTATCTTCGAAGCACTTTCGATGAGAGAATAAACTTTTTTTTTTAAAAAAAAAAAACAAAGGTAAATCTGCTGGCAGTGTGTTCATTCACATAAAAAGTATAACACTCGAAACGCGCATTAAAACGGAAATAAAAAAAATCTCAGATTTCTCTTCCGATTACAGTCGAGTTTTTAGACCGCGATCTTCACGATAATCAATAAAAAAAAAAAACATAAAAATTTCTTTCGTCAGATTGATGACGACGATGATTTTCTTCTCTGTGTATCGTTCTCAAAAAAAAAAAAAATGTACCTAACGAGCAATCAGATTCAGTACCGAGATTCTTCGAGAAGAGTTTCTCGCTTCGAACAACCAACTGATTTCGCGTAGCACAAATATATTTCACTCTCGGAGTATTTTCTGTACATGTTCATTTCTTCAGGTTCACTTCCTCGGTGTTTTCCTCGTGTTGTCTACTGTCACCCCCATCGCTGTCCTCGTGAACATTTTTCCCGTTTTTCTCGGAAGAAGAAGAAGAAGAAGAAGACACCGTCTCCTTCTTGATTATCAGACTCACCGGCGCGTCGGCCTTTGCAGTGTAGTGTCCCCCGGTTGCAGTTTTCAAAAATGGACGTCTCTGACATCGGTTGGCGTGCCGGCCTTCTCGTGCTCGAGTATCTTCTCCTGACTCGTGTTACTCTGGTCCCCCAACGGCCTCTGCGACGAGGTCAGCACGCCGGTGCTCATCGGCTGGTGCACGGTTTCGCTCCCGGACTTTTCGATACTCACGTGAGCCTGAGAGATCATCTCCTCAATCTGCTCGAGGCATCCTTGCAGATAATCCTGAAACAGAAATCAGATTTCACGGTGACAACAACAGTCGCAGCGCAAAATTTTCTCATGTATCTGTGTGATGTAGTTGTTAAATCCTCTCACACTGTGCACAAATTTAAAGAGCTCTCCTCGCTGAGATATATATATTGTATATGTAGCGGATTTGTAAAAGTAAAACCTGTTTCCTTACATACGAGAATATACAAGACCGTGTGTAATCGAGGTAATATAATTCGTACGTCACGCGACGCACGCGCATATGTGAACGAACGCACACTCGCAAACGATAAGCGATATATTCTGATATCGTAGTACGCACAACACTAACCTGTTCGATGGACGTAATGCGAGTAAGCTCGTCCAGAAGACCAGTCAGTCCACGGCCGCTTTTCCTCGTCCAATCGAGCCCGTTCAACGCCGCCGCGACACTCGCAGCCGCTATCATACTCGGAGTGTACATGCAGAATTTGAATTCTGTAACGAAAACAGACAAAAAAAATTCTACATACGCCACACATCACGCTCGCAAAATTTCATTGAGTTTGAAGGCGTATAATTGCGATTGTATAAAAGAAATAACGCGCAAAAATAAAGAAATCTCTTTTGTAGTAAAAAATTTAAATAAAACAAAAAATAAAAATGAACGTTTACACACACACACACAACTTGTGTTTTTAAAAACGTTCTTTGTCACTTATCGAGCCGCAAAAAAACGTTTAGCGGACAAAGAATACGAACTAACGCGTGGTGTTTTGTTGCCAACAAGGTTTTACTAATGTTTTTCTTGTTTCTCCTTTCAGGGAAAATTCCTCTCCGAGATAGAATTCAAAGCGAAGCGCTTCACATTTTACGATTGAATGTACTTCTCGAGTAATTTTCTTCTTTCAATCGCACACGCGTTATTGGCAACCCCAATGCGCGTGTGTGTTACACAAACTTTTGAGCGCGCACAACTCTCTAATGCATGCGTGGCCTAATTTGACAAAGAAAAAAAAAAAAAACGAGACCGAAGAAAAAAAATGATTCGCGCTTCTCTCTCTCTCTCTACGTTACGTGACAGTTTCCGCCTCGCTATACGCGACCATGTTGTATATTTATTAATGTTGTGTATGTTAACGATGCGCGACGCGGTACCCCCGGTTGTGTGTTACGACGTTACGTAGTTTGCACACACGTACGTTAGCGTCATGGCACAATTACGGCGACTGTGCAGCGCGCGTCGTCGTAATAAGTGGCGCTTGCCGTCGTGAGACCCGCGTGGAAATGTTTATGCGACAGTGTCCTCATATTCACGAAAACAAGGTTAAGTCTAGGCGCGCGCAAAAAAAAAACAAGCGCGCAAGAACCTGCAATACAAAAACCATTCGTCATTCTTAACGCAAAGATGGAGATTTCTCGCGCGGTAATTTCTCTGTTAATTCCATCACGTTTTTTTTTTTTTTTTTTTTTAAATTGTTTCCTGGATAGTCACACAGTCAGCCTGCGTTCTTACCTATGGCGCTGAGTGCGATAAATGCCTGCGCGTGCCTACGGACCATCACGGTGTCCCAAGTGCACGGCAGGGGCAATCTGCTGAGGATGTGGATGAGAAAATCGCCAGGCGTCACCGCGGACAATTCCCACTTGAGCTTGGAGACCACCAGCTGCTCCCACCTCTGCAACAGAAGCCGAACAGATGCCGTTTAATTTGTTGTAAACTCGGCTATTTTATCAGACTTGAATTCAATGCAAGAGATAATTTAAAAAAAAAAAGAAAAAAATGCGCAAATTTTGCTGAATGTGTATCTTTGCGATAAATATCGTCCGCTGAAGATTCATAAAAAAAGCATCGCTCTCTAAAGTGTTACTTTACACGCGGAAACGCTGCTTTTAATTGCCGGCGCGCAGATGCGACAATGAATCACATAAGCGGCGGCGGCGGCGGCGGCGGCGACGACCACGATGGCGGTGTATCGAAACTCCAATGCGACCTTGATCCCTGTCCGTTCCAAGTGTTGAACACGAGAAAAAGAGAGAGAGAGAGAGAGAGAGAGAGAGAGAGAGAGAGAGAGAGAGAGAGAGAAAGAGAGAGAACGACACAAAAAGAGACGGGAGAAAGATATTACTCTTATTTCTTGCAATCGGTCGAAGTTAAGTTTACTATGGTATTCGCTTTCTGGTGTACAACGTCAGTTACATTGACGAGGAAGAATGAATCGCGCCACGTAAGAGGAAGGACGATTCCTCCTCGTGAGCGCGCGGCGCAATTTACTTCTCGCCGATGTATCACCCGCTCTCTTTTGACCGTGAAAAAGAGAATAGCGTATGACGAATACTACGAGTTCTTTATCTCGATTGTTAAATACCTATCCGCTGAATTATCGACGTCAGCTAAGCTACGTTAGGATCTAAGCTGTTCGCTGCTCTCCTCATTAATAATCTCAAGTATTGCGCGAATTAAAAGAAAATAAAAAATAAAAAAAAAATACATTACTTGTGCAAAATATTTGCGAACAATTATCTCTCTCTCTCGCGAGAGAGAGAGAGAGAAACAAAGAGAGAAAGAGAAAGAGAGAGAAGAAGGAAGAAAAGACGATCCTGCTTGTCGTTTAATTTAAAATCCTCGTCGAAGAGAGGATGTGCGCTCGAGAGAAGACAGACCGAGAAAATTTCTTCACCCCGTTCTTGCCCCCTCGTCTTTTCTTCACGGTTAATATTCTCATCCTTGAGGAGGTTTCGCGCTCGAATGCGTACGTAGTACGCGTACGCTCGCCCGGTTCTCTCTCGGTTCTACGTACATCAGGAAACAATTAAACGGACGGCGTTGGACGTGGCATGATTCATATTTCGCGTGGAAATAAGTAAATTGACGCATTTGCATGCTTAAATTCTCATCGACATTGCTCGAGCACACGTTAACTTAATTCGATTCGCAAACATAAAAGTGCAGGAAAAGAGCAAAAAAAAAAAAAAAGGATCAGATCCTTCTATACGTGCGCGTGTTAATCCCCTTATTTATAGATTCTATAAATAAATCTATACAAGATTCCTATACACAGATTCCAATTGAACGTCGACTACGCCATTGGAAATGACTTCTCGTCTCGAGGTTACTTCTAGGAAACTGTCTTTGCGTAACGTGTTCGCTCCGGTTACCGAAGTATCCTCCTTCCTCTCGGGATCCTTTTTCGTATGTATGTAAGAAATTTCTGCGGCGCTCGACGTGAGACCGGAACATTACGACGGTCAACCTCCGTCGTATATTTCATTTCTTCTACGAAACTGTAGAAGAATTGCGTAAAATGTAACAAAAGCCGTAAACCTACCGGCTCTATGTTACCAAACTACCAGATCAGAATGCGAGAGAAGACGTAATACGTATATAAATTATACGAGAAAACTTCATTCTTAAAGAAACATCTCCGGATTTATCTTTCCCGCGCGTGTGCACGTGTGTGTAAAGTAAATTATCTAAAATGATCTATTACCGGAAGGAAAAGAGCGGGAGAGATACGGCGACATTATTAATCACGTTAATCGACGCCAAATATGATTTACGATGTCAGCGCGGTCTCAATTTGCCGCGTAAGGCTGGGTACACATTTGCAACAAGAACGTGGTAACTGCAACATCGTTGTAAAAAAAAAAAAAAAAAAAAACGGATCGAATGGGAGTTTGCGCGCTTGAAAGAACGTCGTCGCGAGCGAAAATTGCAGAATTTCGCTAAATTTCGCTAAAATCTAAAGTTTCCGCAAATCTTGCGATAAGCGTCGAACTCTCGACTCTTGTGGAGAAAAAAAAAACATTCACAAGAAAAATTCTCTTCTTTGCTGAGATTGGTTGTAACTCACAACTAATGCGGACGCTCAAATCCCACGATTCTTGCGACAATTCGTCACTCCCTACGTATAATTACGTAAGTGTCACATATGGGATTTTCAGTTTATTGCATAGTGACACTTAGAAAGTCATGTTCTTTGTGGTCACCAAGTATTAAAAAAAAATATTCATAAGTAAGGTAAAAATTTAAAACCGAAAGATCCCTTAACTAAAGAAACTATATGAAGCTTTAAACTTTCAAACTGTTCTCCTCTAAAATTTGCGTTTTGGAGTTACGGGATTATACGTAGGGAGTGACGAATTGTCAGAAACACGCGACTGTATAGAGCGCTCTGCGATTAATTAGCAGAAACAACCTCACGGGGTTTCTGTCGCATCTTTTGCGGCGCGGAAATACCGACAAGCTTTGGGACGCGGTGTAACTTCGCCGCCGAACATCGCGCATCGTGTTGCGCTCAAAAATTGTTCGGTGCAAAGTTGTATACGATGCACCATTGCGCCGCGCGCGATGTTCTGCTGCTGCTGCTGCGCAAGTGTGTGCACGCGGCTTAACACTCGATCCCGTAACACGTAACTCAATCGGGCTTAATTAAAGATCCGCCGAGACCTTTTTTCAGGAAAAACATTGACACGCGTGTGCATTTAAAGTACGGGTACCCGCATGGCAATCAGAAGAAGCCGAAAAGATTCGTCTCTCATCGGAAGCGAAATAAAACTTACGCGCGCGAACACAATATTCATACAAAAGTCTCAATTTTCTATGTGAAGATGACAAAAAAACAGGAAGGAGGGAAACAAATTTACTCTTGCAAATAATTCCATTTAATGTGTGTGTGTGTGTGTGCAATTAGCCGAAACGATAAAATTCTCGTCGAACGAGAGAATCTTTGGATCTCGCACTACGCGCGTGCACATCGAGAATTGGTCTTTTTGTTTCCCTTGTTGGCGCGGAGGAACTGATAAAAATTCCGGAACGCGAGGTTTGTCAAAGTGGAACATCTCATTCCGGCTTTTTTCCGTCACATACATCGCACATACACATCGTATATAGGATTTAGCTATGCCGTGTGCGCCACCGGCCGATACGTCACATAGACATTCAAGGTCAGTCGTTCGACGGGCGAAAGAATCGACTGACTGTGTTGGTTATAGAAGTTAGAAAGGCAACTCGCAAAATATCGCGCGCGTGACCTCGGACTCGGTTAATATTTACGCAGATTTCGACGAAAGAAAAACGAATCTGTTCTCTGATATATGTTATTCGCGAGATCTCGTCGTATATGTGTGTGTGTGTGTGTGTGCAAATTGTTGTTATTTCATCATATTTCGCGCAATTTCGTTATTTATAAACCCGCACACAAACACATTCGTTCGTTCGTTCGTGAACGAACATCGTGATTATTTAACAAACTCAATAGCTATATCGCGGTTTTACATTGTTTCGTTGTACGCGCGCGTATATTTCTTTATTTTACACATTCGTATTACACGAGAGAGAATGATGAAAGGACGCGAAAAACCCGGCTATTATTGGTTTAACAAACCGGGCAGTTATTATCGCGGTGTCTTCCGGCGACTTAAGATAAATAAGTCGCTAAACGAGATCGAGTTATTCGACGCTGGTGTTACTTTTCTTGTTCACCTCGCGTGTTTTCTTCAGTTTCCGCTTCTTCCTCATCGCACCTGACTCGCGCGCGCGAAAGAGAAAGAGAGAGAGAGAGAGAGACAGAGAAAAACAGAATTGTTTCTATTTTTGTTTTTTTTTGTTTTTTTTTTTTTTCAAATAGACGCGTAGATCGTTTCGCGCGTGTCGAAGAATTCACACGAAATTCTATTGTGTCGCGACATCGTCACCGCGACACGAGTATATTTCATCCGCGTGCGGGTATTTAGTTTCGTCGTGAGGGCATCATCGGCGGGGACGGTGACCGACTCGAGGTCACTTTGCCAACCGTCGCCTTTCGCAAGATGGGCTTTCTAGTCGCCAAAACCCATGTAAAAGGAACGCCTTCGAAGGAACGCCAATTTAACTTTTAAATCTCGCGTCGCCGACAGAGAAAAAATATATATACAATATATATATATATATATATATATGCGCGGACAATAAACCCGGGTTCAAAGGGGTTAAAAAGAGTTCAAAAGGATCGAATGTCCAGCGAGCCGATAGTGGGAAATCAAGCAATTCATGTTAATTACATGAGTCCAAGTTTCCTTTGTGCTTCTCCGGAACGCGAATTTTTCACCCCTCCGCTGTTTTTAAAAACTTTGCAAACCTTTCCCCTTCCTCCTTTTTATAAGAATCGTCTGTCTCGTCTGGCGCGCGCGCGTTTCTCACTGCTTTGCATAACCGAACTGCAGGACGTTCTCACGACATCGCGCGTCGTTAAAGAGATACTTGTCGCGCGCGAGTGACATTGTCACAACATAAAAAAAAATTTTCTTTTTCGGCACAGCGACTAATTCGATTCTTCTTCTGTTTCCACCGCGAATAATTTGATAGAAAAAAAAAAAAGAAAATTTTAATTATCGCGCGAGAAAAGATTTCACAAATAGATTTTGTTCAGGCAGAAATCGAATAAAATTTGAGCGCTCCTCGCTCGTGAGGCGCAAGACTGCACGCGGTGAAACAACCGCGCGAGCTCGCTTTAATCGCCAAGGAACAGGTGGTCGGACGGAACCAGATGTATGTCGCCCCATCTCGGGACTTTTGCCATTTTTTTTTCTTTTTGTGTTTTTACCTCACAAAGAAAATATTGCGTGAAAAAGAAACAAGGCAACGCGAGGTTATCGCGTTGTGCAAGCGCGCTCGGTTTCCGACTTGCGCAAAAGAGACAAAGCGGGGTTTCAGCACAAATGAACTCATCAGCCGCCCGTTGCGCGCGACGTCTAATTGTAGCCGGCAGGCAGGTGTGTGCCGCGACCCGGCGCTCAATTTTCTCCATTCCGTGTGTGTATATGTAGACATAATTGTCTGAAGACCGATTAAAGAGAGTCAAAATTAAAGATTAAATTAAATGAAAAGAGAAATAACGCGTTTATTTGCGCGCTTCCTCCATTAACCGCGCGCTTATCGCGTGTGCCTACCTAACACGCTGAGAGAGAGAGAGAGAGAGAGAGAGAGAGAGAGAGAGAAAGAGAGAGAGAGAGAGAGAGACACGATAACGAGATCGTCTTCGATAATGACGGCATGTGTACAGATACCGTCCAATTAATGCAGACGTGAGAAATTGATCCTCTGATGCAATTCTCATCTTATCTATGTCACACAGATACCGTGTGTGTTTAAGCATTAATTATTTCGTCTTTGTTCGACAAAATTTGTCGAATCTACTCGAGCGATTACGTCGGCACAGCAAAATTTCTTGCGAACGAAAAAGAAAAACTTTCGACTTATAACCAATTTCTCCTCGAAAATGTTCGCCAAGATCAAGGAAAGAGGATGAGAAAAAATAACTGTTGCAACATTTTTATCCTTGTTGCAAATTTGATTGAATTCACCGAGCGCGATATCAAAGCAATAAAAAAAAAAAAAAAACACTTTTGTGTGCGGAAAATAAAATTTTGAAGATATTTCTCCGTGTAACTCGCCAAGACGGGAAAGAGAACGGGAAAGAGAAGAAAAGAAGATAATCGCGATATTTTATTGTTACGATGTTGCAAAATTTTGTCGAATTTACTCGAGCGAACAGACGACAACAATTTCTTGCGAACAGAAGAAAATCAAAATGTTTCGAGAAATATTTCTCCTTAATTCAGCCAAGAAGGAAGGAGAAGGGAAGGGGGAGAGAGTTCTTTCTTCGACAAAAGCTGGAGAAAGAGGTCAAAGGCATCGGGGCAGAGCACGCTGCCCGGCGCAGGAGGGGTTCCTCCTCCTGCCTTTTGCCTTCGGCGTGCACTTCCGAGCGAAACGCAATGCGCACATTACAAATTTGCGCACATGTTGCGCTCTCGCCCGTTGCAGGGGACGGTCTGGAGAAGCGGAAGGGAGAGAGGAGGGAAAAGAGAAAGAGAGAGAGAGGGAGACGTTTCTTTCAAGGGAATTTCCTGACTTCGCGGCGAAGACGAAAAGAAGGAAGGAAGGAAGGAAGGAAGACTGAGAGAGGTCCAAGGCAAGGGGTGCATATTCACCGGTTCGCGCAAAGCAGATGCAGCTGCCGGCAGCGTCGCGCACGGGCCCGGTGCACCCCACCGAAGAAAACTATACTCGTGCGCCACGCACCTGGCCCACACCTGCTTCTCCTTTTTCAATAGCTCGCGCTCCCGCAACGGGTAACACCGTGCCCGTGCCACCCGGCCGGAATACGATGCATGTGCGTGCACACGTTAGTATGTTCGCCATACATTACTCTGGATATGTTTCTCTCTCTCTCTCTTTCTCCCTTCCTTTCTATCTTGTAATATCGCCTCAGCATGCCGTCGCATGTAATTTCGAAGCTAAACACGACGAACTGACTCCCAGAGTTCCTTTACAATATTGCAAAGTAAACACAATCCGAACTCGCCATTGCCCAAATCTTTGTGTATTTTTCAGTGTTTCAGAGCAAAAATCACATCCGCGTCTCGTCTCCGCATAAACAAACCCAATTGAAAATCTAAATATCCCGCGCGTGTTGTTTCCCGCGTCGTTTTTCCCGCTAGGCACGCGCGGATGAAGATGTGTGTTAAAAGTAACGCGCGGGTTAGGTCCCGTAAATATACATTTACGTAAATTTCCGACATCACGGACGCGCATCATCAATCGCGCGTCGCGCACCACGCGCGCCTCGAAAAATTTCTCCTATAAAAGTTTCAGTAGTAGTGTTAACCCGTGAGATCGATCGACGCGCTGATAAGAGACACAAAGAATACGCGTTTGGACATTTTTTTGTTTTGTTTTTCTACATCTAGTCGCCGCCTATACAATTCGAGGAAAGTTCGCGAAATCAGGACAGAGATATCGGATACATAAATGGATCTCTTGACGACGAGCAGTCAAAGAACGTAGGCGCGCGCGCGCGCGCGCGATTTCCTCGTGGCGCAAGTTTCGCATTCTGGCGACGATATGCGGAACGGGATAAAATCGCGCTCGATAAACTCGATCGTCTCGTGCATTGATCGCGTAACGTAGCGTAAATAGCGCGCGAGCTAACTCCTCTCTCTCTCTCTTTCTCCTCGCTGTCGTTTGGTAAAACGACGCCTACTCGGGAACAAAATTATGCGATAGGCAACGCGCGAGTACGCGCGCGAGTAGCGGTACCGTGTGTGTGCGCGTGTATTTGTTTTTCGTTTGTCCCGTACGCGCCGAAATAAATCCCGTCCCGATATCTTTCGGCCGCTATCGCGCAGAAAAAGAAATTTATATTTGAAACAAATATTGAAATTTTACAAAACTAGGTTTTAGTTTTTTTTTTTTTTTTTGCAAAGCTTGCGCCCAATTTAAATTTTCTCACATTCCGGCGAATGTATGCGGAAAATTGTCGACAATTTTCATTTTTTTTTTCACGCTTTCAGATAATTTTTGCTCGTTGCGGGGGCCTTTGAATAGTTTCGAGATAAGATAAATGCTCTCTCGCGACTTGCATCTCATGTAGGTCAAAAAGAGTACGCGCGCGTTCGTTTTCCACAAAATTTTATACAAATTTTGCACAGACCGATCGCGCGAATACATATCCGTTGTCAACGTTAGATTAGGTTTTTCTTTTCGGATGCACACTTACCCAGAGATCGTCGAGAGTGATGGAGTTGTCGGTGTAGAAAACGAGGACTTCGGCCGTGAGCGGTAAGGATTCTCGTAGCTTCGACGCCAGCAACAGGCAGGCGGTGCCGAGCAGTTGAAGCTGAGACTTCCTGATCGGGCAGATCGACAGGAACCTGTCGACGTAGTTCATCGACAGGGGAAAAACCTCGTCTTGGCATTTTCTCTCCTCGCATACCTGCAAGCACAGGACATCGAATACAGAGTGCAGAAGGACACGATCGCACAACACACACACACACACACACACACACACACACACACACATGCGCGTATATATATACACCAACGTAACATGCACGTTGCGTGATAAGGCGACGATGAGATCGTTTCAAGGTCGGACGATTGGGAGAGAGAAAGAGAGCTACTGGGCGATAACGTCTGAATACGCGATTCACGACGCGAATTCAGCTCGCCGCGCGGCGAGTCGCGCCGCGAGTTACGTTACAAAACGTAATATGCTATATGTGTGTGTGTGTGTGTGTCGAAGAATCTTGTGAAAACGGCAGACGTGTGCGCTAAAGAAAAAAATAAGAATATAAAACAGACCGATCGAACACCGGAAATCACTCTTTGTGATTTTCAGAGTTGTCGTGCTGAGAAAAAAAAAAAATACTTGGTGGTCCTTTTAAATCGTTCAGTTTTACTTCAATGTCGCGCCCAAGTGACATGAATAGCAGGGTGTAAAAAAAAAGGTTTCTTCGACTTTTCACACAACAATCGTAACCAACATAGGCGTAGGCATGCAACAAATATCTCGCATCAAATTTCCCTCCGTCGTGTTTTTTATTTTTTTAGGCGCGCAACATTGTCGTGATCGTGAGAACTTTTTTTTTTCGATACTTGAATTTCTACCCTCACAAACAAAATATTTTATCGCGTATTTGATACCGCATTATCTCTTTCCAAAGAGAGAAATAAATAACAACGTCGTTTGAATATCAACGGCGTGTGTACATGAAAAAAAAATGCGGCGGTCGGAAACATCTTTGAGAGAAGAGAGTTCCAATCGTTGAATTGCGGTAGACAATCGCGAGGTAACCTCCTCGAGAGAGGCAAGACAAGGCTGAGGGGTGTCGTGTGCGGCTTACGAGTGATCGCTGCGTATACGAAAGAGAAACTTATTGAGCGTGGCTGATGATCGTCGAGCAGCCCTCAGCAACCTCACGTAAACAGACGCACGCAAACGTACACGTACCGGCACTGAATCGTTACGCTAGAGAAGAAAAAAAACTTCCCCTTCCACGCGTTGTTTCGCTTCGACAACGAGCCGACCGAAGGGAAACGACGCGTAGAAAGGGAACTTTCTTCCCTTCTGGCGGAACGATTCGACGTCGGTCAGTGTACGTGGTTTTCGCGAATTATTCTGTCGCTCTTTACCGATTGCAATGCAATGTAACTCGACGAGTAACGGAATAATAATCTTGTTCGCTCAACAATTGCAAATTTGTTTTTCACTCGGTGAGAAAAACAACAAACGGAAAGTAAAAAAACGCGCATCGTGAAATATTGTGATTATTTTAAAGAGCGAGGAAAGAAAGGACGTTGAATTCTCCGATATATATTATCCAAGACTAAAATCGGTTCGAGACATTATCGTGCATCTGTTCAAACATCGACGAAAATTTGATCGGGACGAAGTTAAGAGCGAAGGTAAGAATTCGTGAAAACGTCGGAGAGAGCGGAAGCACACAAGGAAAAAGTATTCTCGCTTTATTTCTCACTGACGTTTCCTCAACGCCGTAAAAATGCAAGGTGTATATTATTTGCGTGAATGAAGGTATTTCGCGCGACGCAGTCGTTTCGTTGCGAGAACGATTTTGTTTTTTTTTTTTTTGTTGTAACTTCGCGAGGAAGATTTGACCGACGTGTCGCCGCCGCCGATACCGAATAAAGCCAATTATCAATAATTTTTATACGTCAAAACGCGCATTTTATATATAAATTATACGCGCTCTCCGACCGATGAGAGTTATCTGTTTAATTATTAATTAAATGGATATCGCGAGCCTCCTGTTTTTTCGTGACGAGCCGACAGTTGCGCTCTTATCTCTATGAATTTATCGAATTCGATGATCTGTCTTTGTAAGTTCGGTTCGAATTAAAGGACCGCGTCTCCGACCGCATGTTAAGTCTCACATGCATTAAGAATAATTGGAATCCGAGTGTCGCGTCCGAGCGGTATTCTTGAAAGGATGTCGAAAGAAATTCAAATTTTTCATGAGAAAGAAAGTTCGGAACCGACATGTTTTTTTTCTTTTATTTGAAGATAAAATATACAAGAATATGATCGCCGATGGAAACTAATAAATAAATCAATCCGACAGCACCATTTTATAAGCTATCTTATAATTCAAACACTTTTGCCATTCGGTAGTACTAGCGCGGATGTATGTATATATATTTGTGTATACACACACACACACACACACACACACACACACACACACACACACACACACACACACACACACACACACACACACACACACACACACACATATACGTTACATGAGCAACACACAGAGGAGATATGCGGGCAAGAAAAGTGCCTTATTCGGTTACCATTGAAATATCGTTTAAAATGCGTCAACAGCTGATTGGTTTCTCGAAATTTCACGAAAGTGAAAAAAATAAATTTGAAATTTTATATTTTTACCATTAAAGAGCGCACGCGCGCGCGCGTGCATCACACACGTACGTTACAAGGGATAATCCTGATGTAACTGATAAAAAAAAAGGTGTTAGTTTCCAGATATTCTCGAGGTAATAACAAGTCAAACTTTATTATCGAACACAACGGTTGTTTCGATTGTGTGAGAAAACGTTAGAAGGAGGAGCGAGACACGCCGCGTATAAATTAATGTTATTTACGATCGTTTTTTAAATCCCGGTGTAAACTCCATTATACACGACGAGCTGTCATTCGCGCCGGATGAATCGGCAAGCCGGAGTGTATCGTCGAAGAATTCGAAACACGATGCGACACACACACACACTCACACACACACGCATACGCGCACGCAGCTGCGCGCACGATCCAAGTGGACTTGCTTTCGTCGTGAAACATGCCGTCGAGGTCACCGTATAAATTCGATTATTGCGAATAAATGATTCGAGCGCAGGAATAATTAAAAACACTCGCTCGAAGAAAATGACAAAGCGAGGAAACAACAATGCAACAACGCGCGTGTGAGAACGCGAGCCAAGCGCGATGCAACTTTTGTTTCGGGTTCGATTTAAACGAGACCCGAGGTGGTGGTGGAGGTGGTGGTGGTGGTGTTGGTGATAGTAGTATTATAATAGCAACGCCGAAAGAACACGACGTGGAATATGCGGTCCGGAAGCGGAGAAATCCATTACCATATCCGATAAAGAAGGAAGTCTGGCCGGAGGAAGGACAGAACGGGGAAAAAAAAAAAAAAAAACCGAGGAATTAACTCGACGCGACCGATCGTCTCTCTTTCGAATCGTCCGACGAAATGTGTGTAGTGGTCGCACGCGCGCGTCTCTCGGTTCCTCTTTAAATTTTTCGGATGTTGCACTTTCATAACGTTCTCTTACGTGATCCAAATTACGTAAGGGGAAACGCAATTAGCATTATTTTTATATAATATTGCGTAAGCGAGCGTTAATCTATTTAATTTTGTTCGAGGAGAGTCGCAAAGTCTGTGTCCTATTTTTTTTCTCTCTCTCTCTCTCTGGCGCAATATTCCTAAAAATATATTCAATTCGATGACGACTCTTAAACTAGGCACAAATGACCCAAAAAATCTCTCGCGATACCCGCGATATCGCAAAATTATCGCGAAACGGAGACTAAAACAAAGCTTACGTTCGGTTCGCGAGATAATCGACACACTTTTTTACGATTAACGATTTCGCCTGCGAAAAAAGATCTGTTTCCAGATACAATAATCACGCGACGGATCATTTATTCGATACTCGAATCGATCAGCTGCTGATTTCTCTTCCCTTTAATTAAACGAGAATACATATATATATATATATAT